TGTAATTTTCTTCTTAATTAGAGGTCCATTCATTTATTGTCAGTACTTCAGTTTGGACAGATTGATCCCTGTCTGATTAGAGTTCTGGAAACCGGAGGCTTCCAGAAGCACTGTGCTTCTGTCGTCCCGGGATCTCCCTTTGTCATCATTGCAGGAATTCCCTTTACTTTGCTCTCTGAGTCCCATGCCTTCCTCTTTCTCGGTAACTTCCTTGTTTTGATGGAGCTACATCCTGTGGGAGTTGTCTGAAAATGGATGGATAGTTTTGGAGACAATGCATATTTAAACACCTTCATGCTACCGTTTCTCTTAATTTGTGGTTTAGCTAAATTCGAGTTCTAGCTAGAAAATATTTCTCTCAGAATTTTGAGGGCACCATTTCATGGTATTCTATGTGGCTGTTGAGAAGTCTGATTCTATTCTGATTCTTAATCCTCTGTATAATCAATCTTCCCTCTCCAGAGGCTTATCGAATAATCTCTTTGCCTCAATTGTGATAAATTTTTAAGATGATGTGCTTTAGTGTGAGTCTGTTTTCACCCATTGTACCAAGCACTCACTTGGTCCTTTTAGTCTAGATATTTGTGTTCTTCAATTCTGGGAGATCTTCTTGATTTATTCTTGAATGAATCCTTCCTTTTCATTTTCTGTTTTCTCTTTCTGCAACTCCTATTATCTGCATGTTAGATTTCCTAGAATGGGTCCCTACTTTTATCTTTTCTCCTCTGTTTGCTTTGCTTTGTTTTTTCTCTCTTTTCTGGGGTATTTCTTCAACATTATTTTCCAAACCTTCTATTGAGTTTATTTTTTGCTTTGTGCTTTCGAGTTTAAATTTTATTTTTTATTTATTTATTTTAAAGATTTTATTTATTTGAGAGAGAGAGAGCATGAGCAGGGAGGGAGGGAGGGAGAGGGAGAAGCAGACTCCCCACTGAGCAGGGAGCCTGACTCAGGGCTCTATTCCAGGACCCCGAAGATAGACGTTTAACTGACTGAGCCACTCAGGCACCCCTAGAGTTTGAATTTTAAAGAGCTCCTTTTTTGTAGGCATTCCCTCAATGTTCCTTTTAATGCTAGCATTGTGTTCTTGTTTCACTGATATATGATCTCCTCTTATCTTAAGGAGGTTATTAATGATGTTTTTAAAAGTTTTCTTCTCTGTGAATCATCTCTACTTCTGATGTAAGCTAAGAGTCCTGTGTGCCTGGCAGGGCTTGAGATGTGATCTTCACTGCAGCTTGCTTTGCTGGGCCATTTCCTTGGGGGAACGCTCATGTATCTTCAGAGTTTTCTCTCAGGCTTATCAGATTCCCCAGAAAGACTGGACTTCTGCCTGATGGATACATGCTTGGCTGCTGGCATTCTGGAAACCAAGCTGGGGGGAGAAGGCAAGGGAGTCTCAACTTTCCTTATGTATGTTTTCACTTCTCAGTATGATATTTCTAATGTCAACCGGATATGACTTGTTGCCCCTCAGAAACTCTCTGTTTTTGCCCTCTTCAGAGAATGGTCATTGGTTGGGATTGGGAAAGAACAGTCACTCAGCTACTTGGAGTGAAGAGGGAGATCTGGGGTTCTAACTGCATCTTAAATAGACTTCAAAGCCATCCTAATTTTAGCCCCATCTTCTCCAGCACATCCCAGAGGTAGCTAATGCTACCAATTTCTGAGCCTTTGGTGGGGGTTCTGCTTCACAAATGCAACTGACCTGTCTCAACTTCCCCACTGCTGGCTTAAGATTCAGCTTCTCCAGATTTGCTCAGTTACCAATGAACTGTCACTCTCCAGCTTCAAACTTTTGTTCCTATTGTCTTTTCTTCCATTCTCTTTGATCCCCCTGGTTTACACCTTTTTGGAATATCTCTTTATTGTCTTTTCAGAGGCCTGCATGAAAGAATGGAGGTGAGGTATGTTCACTCTTCTCTCTTTGCCTGGAAGTCCAGGAGTAGTACTCGGCTTTTAAAGAACTAACACTTCAAGATATCTTACTTAGTTTGAGCTATGTGGACCACTTACCACAGAAAATTAAACTTTCTCCCAAAGAAGACCCTCAAGTGGTAGAAGTCCATGTGATTTTTTTTTTTTTTTTAAGAAAAAATGAGTGTAAAGTTTCAGTCACTTCACAAACTTTAACCCTGTGGTTCTAAATTACTCAGCCCTCCAGATCATCGCAGCTCGGCCCCTCCCAGACTTCCATTCCCTTTAAATCAGAGACTCCTGAGTCTGTTTCCTTTAGACTTTTAATAGTAGCCTTTTGGTATTTTCCAATAAGTGCTTTCAACTGGGCAATATACATATCATGCTTTCCTCATTACTACTGCTCCATCAATAAATATACAAAAATCAGAGGAAGGGTGTGCTGTGACAAATCAAAGTAACAATGGTTACTGTACATGCATGAACAATGAGCTATTCTTTGAAAACTCAACGTAAGTGATTTATAGAAAGGCATACCTATTACATAAAGGTAAATGGACCACGTTATTCTTATTCTTAAGTACACTTGACATTTCTAGAGAAGTCAGAGATTCCTTTCTCCCACTCCTCTGCTGTACCAGTATTGAATGAACATTGGCTATGAAATCAATTCTTGGCATCATGATCTCAATATAAAACTTTGAGAGGTTCTGCTTGAGAATTCCGTTCTGCCAGGCTAGAATCTACAAAATATTGATATGAAGGAGTCTCTTGTCCCATTTTATTTTCCCCCAGTGCTAAGTTAAAGGCAGCCCTCAGGAGACACAAAAGATTTAGGAAATTTTAGGAAAAATTGCATCTTAAGCTCTCTATGCCATTATTTCAAATGGGAGAGAATACATCCTATTCCATGAACTCCGGGCAATATTGGAGGGGTATTGCATCCAAGGGCTGGAAGCTCTGGACCTCTCCCATTCTTATTTGAGAACACAGAGGCATATCCAAGTGAGGGGCTACAACAGTAATAAAAGGAAAGATCGTATTAAATTTTAAAAATAGAAAACAGTCACCTATCTCAGCCTATTTATTGGAAATCTCTAGAAAAGGAAAACCATCCCTAGCTGTGAGACTTGTAAGACTATCCATGACCCTGAAGAAAATCTCGGGACAGATAGAACCTGGCATAGCCCTCCTGAACCGGATCCTGGAATGGCTAAAGAGCTGGAATGAGCGTGTCTGCAGCAGACCAGGAAAGCTCTTGGAAAGCAGGGAGCACTTGGACATGGTGGCTGTGAAACGGAGTGGCTAGATGTCCATTTCTTTCCTTTCCACTTGAAAATAAAAGGAAAACCAGACAGCTGGGTATGGAACTGGCCAATGAAGTTCACAGAAGAGAAGGAAGTTTTCAAAGATCATGATTGGGAGGAGGTTATGAAGGTGGATAGGGGAGAACAGAAGTTGGAAATGAGTGCAGAAAGTGGGCCTCTGTTTTAAAAATAGATCCTTCATCATCGCCCCATGTATAAGCCCAGCCCTGACTAATGTGGGACCTATTTTCTTCTCCTCCTTCTTCTTTTTCTCTTCTTCCTCCTCCTCCTTCGTCTTCTCTCTCTCTCTCTCTGGTCTTAGCAACATCACCAGTTAAACCTATCAGTTTAGGCAACAGATGACTTTTTATGGGGGCATAAGGAGAGCAGTCTCATTTAATAGGAGTCCTTGGTTTATAGATTCAATTTCTTCTATTACAAAGCATCTTTGGAAGTTCCAGGACCAATGGGACTTCTGAACCAATGAATAAAGACCGAGGACTTGCCAAGCAAGGGATAAAGCCATTATTCTCTTATTTGGTCATAAACCTGCCTATCTGGTGCTAAGAGTCCAATGGTGGGAAGCCCTGTAACCTTCTGAGGGACTTCCCAGGCACTTAACGTACCCTGAGTAGCAACTATGTCGGGGACAGCTGGCTTGCTAAAGTATAAACAAATACAGTCATAAAAATATTCAGACAGGATCTACACAGCTGCCTCCCCCTTCCCGAACCTGTGGCAATCAGTTGGCTACTGTCTATGCTCTCTTTCATTTCCATTGGCTTCTCTTTTCATTACAAGAGGTCAAAAGGTACTTCCATATCGTTTTTGGACATCACTTCACAGGGTCAGTGTCTGTGAAATGGGGTGCCACAAATGGTAGGTCATGCAATGTAATGTGACTTTTCACAGCCTTTCAGGGCAGAGAAATGGTGGCCATTCTCACATAAAAGCAGCTGAGGTTCCTCCCCTCACAACTCTGATGCTAGGACAGGAGAAAGCTCTGGAGCCCCAGAGATAACACAGCACTATCTTCCTTGATTCTCTTTGAGATTTGGTTGAGTGAGCCTGAATGGGGGGCTTAGTGGCTCTGAGGTGAAGACTTTCAAGGAGGGCTTTCTCACATCTTCCTAATGAGTTTTTGGGAACCAGACCTTGCTGGTGAAAAAAACTGAAGGATCACAGCACAAAGGGTTAAAGTGGAAGAAGTACAGATGTTTATTATGAATCAGCTTAAACCCTTTATGCCTCTGACAAAGTAAACAAAAAAAAAAAAAAATCATACTGATCAAAGGACCTCCAGGGTTTAATATTTCAAAAACACAGATAAATAGCTTCCTACAGATAAATAGCTTCACCTTTTGGGTATTTCCCAGAAGCATGTGAAAAATTTCCAGGGGCTCTGTAGAAGGGGATGTGTAACCAGTACATTCTGATCCCCTAGCTCACTGGAAAGGAATGCCCAGGGACTAGGCTGCAGGAGGAGGGGAGGGATGTGGACCCATTCAAATATCTTCCCAGGGACCAATCCCTCTTAGCCCTGGGGGATGTCCTTAGCTGGCTGCTGTTGCCTGGGAGGAGGAGTGGAGGGAAGGTCGGGGATCAGGAAGATGTATTTGTGGCTTTTGTTAGAAGCCATCCAGAGCATGCCCTCAGGGGTGGAGGCTTCTAGGTGGGAACTGGAGCAGTCAAATTCTTGCAGGTTATCATTTGGGCCCTCATTTCAGAAAGCAATGCTGTTTTTATAAACTGGACCTGACTTTAAAAAATAAAACGCAAAAAACAAAAAGGAGTAGAAAATTTTATACTAAAAAAAGATCCCCAATGAAACAATCAGTAGCACATTGCATCTGTGAAGTGTCCCAGCTCCTTATCATGGTTATGTCTCCAACTGCCGTTTCTCTCCAAGGTCACCACGGCGTGGGTGTTACATCCCAATCTTCATGTCCACATTCTGCAGGTTCCGCGTCTCGTCGGCTGTCATATACTGATCTGGAGTCTCTGAGGGCTCCTTGTTCACCAAGTGCACCATCTCCTGAGACTTGCTGGCCTCTCCGTTGATTCCGCTTGGCTTCCGGTCCCCCACTGCTCCGTTGCCATTGTTGATCACCAGCTTCTTCTTCTGCCCACACCTAATGATTTAAAAAAAGCACATGAGAAGGTGCTCTGATGACTCAAATCATCATCATTGTGGCCACCACCGTCAACATCATCACGACAGATTTGGATGGTCTGACTGAGCATGTTTCATCTGACTGACGGTTAACCATCCAAAGTGAGTCCCTGAACCAGCAGCAAAAGCATCACCTATGAACTTGTTAGAAATGCACATTCTCAGCCTGACCCCAGATGTACTGAGTCGGAGAAGTCTAGTAGTGGGTTTAATATCTGTGGTTTAATAAGCCCTCAAGGGGGTTCTGATGCACAGCTGAGTTTGAGAATCCGTGGTCACAACTCCAGGATGCCAGGACCAGCATTGTTCCCCTATTGCAGGTGAAGAGAGCCTTACGCTCCGAAAATTCAGTAAGTTGCCCAGTTATTCAGCAAGTAATAAAAGAATTGGGATTCAAGCCCTTCGGTGTCTGACTCCTAAGTTCTAATTCTCCTTCCTCATCCTACGAGATGGCAATGTTTGCCTTTTTTAGGCACTTTCGCAGTTCCTGCAGACTTAGATAAACCGCGAACATGATGACTATAAATCATTCTGATTTGTGTATTCAACCAAGTCCCATTACTTCCTCTACCAGTGGATACTTTGTTGGCCTTATCAGGGTTCTGACTGCATGGTCGGAGAAAAATGAAACATTATTCTAGACGTGTAAGGCTGTATTGATTTTCATTAGTTAACATTGGGTAACTCTGGACATAGGAGGCTTAACTACATAAGGAAAACTGTTCACTGTTACCACAAGGGTTCTCAGTAACATTGCTCAAGATTCGAACGCAGGAGGTCTTCTATGGAAGAGCATGACCTTGATGGTGTCCCTGCCTCTCCCCACCCAGCCTGATGCAATGCTTCCTCTGTCTGGTCACAAGCCTACTGCCGCACATCTAGAAGTCCGACTGCTTAACGGAAGCAAAGCCGCAGAGCCTCATGGCAACAAGGGGGGCGGGGGAAGAGGGGAAATGGGCTAGCATTTATTGGACACCTCCTGAATGCCAGGCACTTTACGTATAATTTCATGAAATCTGCACAACAGCCCCGCGATGCAGCTGTTATTCTAGTTATACAGCAGTGGAAACTGGGGTCCGGGGACGTTTAATAACTAGCTTGAGGTCACACAGCTAGTAAGACAGACAGAGACAATATTCAAATCTATGCCTTTATGACCAGAAGCCTGGGCTCTGCCCAGCTCTATTCATGCTGCCAACCATCTGGAGATTTGGAAACAGTGTGAAGTCGGAATTGTGCACTTTGCCGCTGGGTATTTGGAGTTGTAGAGACAAAGCCTCTATTATTCATGATTATGAGCCATTCCCTCTAGAATTGCCAAGGCCATAAACTTTAATCTCTTATTTGGGGAAACAGAAATTATACCTCCTCAACAGGAGGTAGGTCCTGTCTCCTCTGGCATGATGCTTGAGGAGGGGCGGAGGGAAGTTTGCTTGAACTTTGGAGCAAGTCTGTGGGGCTGGGACAATGGGCGCAGTCCACATAGACAAGGGTAGGGGCTGCGAAGGCTTGGTTTTGAGAACTTATTGCTGTGTGGCATGGGGCAACTCATTTAACCTCTCCGACTCTCAGGTTTCTTATCCATAAAATCAAGCCAGTAAGAGTACCAATCCCACAGGATTGTGGAAAGCCCTTGAAACACAGCCCAGCACTGACACACGAGTCTATTATTGTTATTATTTGTTGCTCTTACTTAATGGGATGGGGCAGCCAAGGCCTTGGAGAAGCACCTAGGACAGAATCCAGAACACAGTAAATGTTCGAGAAACACTGGCTCTAGTTGTTCATAGAACCAGAGCCATATGAGTTTGGGATTTGCCTGTCTTCTGGCTGCTTCCACCTAGTCATATTTACTATGAAGATGGCCCAGAAGGCTGAAGGTGGAAGTCTGCTTGTATTTTTTCAAATTCTCAAATGGGTATCTCAGGTGTTCTTTGGAGGGGAGGAGTCTTATTAAAGCAATTCCCATTTGCCGACCTAATGGATGGCTTAGAAGTTGAATGACACATTGTAGGAAAGTGATCAATAATCATAAAAAATGTTGGTGCATGGGTGGGGGCTAGGGACTCATGTTATTTATTCTAAAAAAAGCGGATTTAAAAAGTGGATAACACTGAATACGTAGGGCTCAGAAGTATGGTGCTTGGGTTTGTCCTGCCCCCATTTCCCTTTGGATTTCTGTGTCTCTGCTATCTGAGTTTCTTCAGGAGGACAGGATGATTCTCATAAACAACAAGTCCAATATTTGTTGCTCCAGGCATTAATAAGTACTTTTTTTTTTTTTACATACTACATCACCGGTTTATTACAAAAAGACATGACCCAGGAACAGCCCGATGGAAGAGATGCACAGGGCAAGGGCCGAGGAAAGGGTGTGGAGATCCCCTGCCTCTGTGAGAGCACCAATCTCCCCGAACCTCCCCGTGATCACCAACTCAGAAGCCTTAATAAGTACTTTTAAAAGACAAGTTCTAATTTTTTTTCATTCTTTTTAGTTATAGAACTTTCAGAAAGAACACGAGAGAACACAAGAGCAAGGGGACTTCAGAGGTCGCCCAGCCAACCTCTTCATTATGTAAAACCAGAGACTGAGTCCAAGAAGTCAAGGGTATCATCTGAGGCTACACGACTAGTTACGGCAATAAACAGAGTATCTGCAACTGAGACTTTCTGACTCCAAAGGTCAGAGATCTCCAGCAAACTGCATCCCGTCTTCACCTCCTTTCTCCTTAAATCTCAGGCATCAATCAGCTGAGCAGTGACCACGTGATGTGGGAAGAGCCCTACTGGGGTCTCACCAGGAGAGGGTGGGCAGGCTGGGTGGGGAGAGAAACCAGGTAGCACACATTTAGGGCATGGAGGAATTTATCTTGAAAGACTTGGGGGAGTAACTCAACAACCGATCTTCTGTCTCTTCCACCTGATACTCCTTAAAGATATTTAGAGATTTATTTTGCATTGTGTCAGAGCTGTGTCACCCAACGTGGTAGCCACTAGCCGCACGTGGCTACTTAGATTTAAACCAATTAAAACTGAACAAAGTTAAAAAGTCACCTCCTCAGTCAACCTAGCCACATTTCAAGTACTTAGGAGCCGCAAAGGTTTTGTGTTAGCGCTGACGTAGAACATTTCCATCATTGCTGAAAGTTCTATTGGACATCTTTGTTCTAGAGGACAGAACAAGGTTGGGTGAAGATAAATCGCAGTGAGCTTGACTGTAGCTGAAGTGAAGGAAGGCATTTCTAAATCATGGAGCTTTACAGAGGGGACCTACCAAGCAGAGGGGGGATGACTGCCCTAGGCGGGGGGGTGCATCACAAGATTATTCCCATGAGACTGACAGCTGGTGAAGGCCTTTTCTGCATAGCCAGGAGAGTGACATCCTTGAATCATTCCAGCTTTGGGAAACCTCTCATAAGGTCCTCACATTTTTTTTCCCTCCTCTTCATACAAATCAGATCAATTCTTTAGGGGAAGGGCACCTAACCCCTCTTGGGCCTCATCCGATACCTACCAACCCAACTGACTCCTAAGACAGTTGTCTGCTCTTAAGGAAATGGAATGAAGTAGGATTTCCCCTGGAAAGCTGAAATTCAAGGACTCTGGTTACGAACAGCAAGATAAGATGACAATGCGGCATGACGGGGATGGGAAAAGCTAAAGAAATAATAGGACCGTTCCACTGGCATCTTTATGATGCATGACGCATGGGTCACTTTGTCCTGGAAGCCCATGGTCAAGCCTTGCACGTCAACTTCAGTGACTGCTTTTCCCTTTCGTCTTTTAACCAAAGTTCATACACCAGTGCCTGGCACAGAGTATGTTCTCAATAAAGATCATCTGACTCAAATCCAGCAAGTCAATGTTGCTGCTAAACCTCAAGGTTCTTCTGGGCTGGGATGGCACCCTTTCCATGTTTAATCTTTTCTTCCTTGCCACTCAAAAGATGTTTGCTGGAGGAACGGAAGCCTGCCATAGGTCCTTATTTTCCACCAAACTTTCTTTGATGCAAATAGGATTCTGGATCTCTCTAAAATGTAATGTTCAAAGCAAAAAGGCCCCAGCCTTCTAAGAGGATTGGAAATGGGCTTGCGGCTTTAGAAACGCAGGGCACATTAAGGGGCCCGTGGAGCCGTTAACCACCCCCGTTAGCTGCGTGGCAAATCTGTTTTAGATTATCAAATCAGGACGTAGTAATTTACGGCGTCCAAGCAGCTACTTTCCCGGTGAGATACTCGCTGTGCCGGATCCCGCGTGTCCCTGTTTGCCTGTTGCTAGGGTGACAGCTGGTCTTGGGACGAGGGGCCCCTTTCTTTGGCTGACAGGCTGGGGAGCGCCGTGTGAGCTAACCAGCCCCACGGTGCAGACTCCAGCTGCTCTGGGGGACAGCTAAGAGGCTTCTCCGAGGAATCGGCCCCACGGCCAGCATCCGGGGCCAACGTTTCTATGGCGACGTGTGCAAAGCTTATGGACTGTATATGTGAGCAGAAGGGGTGCAGTCTAGGCCCTGGAACAAAAGGACTCATTTCCAACAATAGCAAATTCATCTTTAATTGAGCAAAAGTAATCTAAGGGAAAACAAGAAGGCTGAGGGAAAGTATAAAGACGCTTTGTAAAGGCTCCCTGAAGTCACGTTATTTAAATTCGGCAGACAAAATCTCTTTCCGTTTAGTCATAGGGAACCTCCTAGAAGGTCTTTCTGATTCCTTTTCCTAGTTTTTGTTCCTTATACAGTTGGCTATCATGAGTAATTTTTTTTTTATTATTCTCTCAAAGGTACAGGTAACAACAGCTATTTGGCTTTAATATAGCACTTTTATTAACTTGTACCAGCGTAAAGTGCATCTAGTTTCCTCAGATAACCAGAGATACTGCATATGCACTGCACGTGGCCATAGAATTAGCCGTTGCTTTCCAAAAGCCAACAAGAAAGATTCTAGCGTGTTCTCCGGGTCCTCTCCCCAAACGAGGGGCCTCATCTGGCCTGTTAGATGATCTAGTGATACAATAAAGGGAGCCCTCCTTGGAAATACAATTCTTTTATCTTGTTGGAAGCAAGCTCCAGGGACATTGATAAACGGTGGAATTGGAATGTTCCTCTGCATGGGCTCAGAGGAAAACAGTGCACCTTTAGAGCATCTTGAACAGGAAATTTAGACTCACACTTTGGAGTGCCCTGTCAGAATTCATGTTGCTAGAATGAGGTTTTTCCTTCCTTTCACTTAGGTGGTATATTATATCTGGAGCCTGGTCACAGATCAGGCAGGTACATGTACTATTTAAATAACTTCCGACGTGGCAGGCCTTGGTTGAGGTGAGGAGAGAGAGGGACCCCTGAGGATATGAAAACAGCCCATACACCGTTTGACTGTCTTTATTCAGACTTTTGCAAGGAAAATTCTTCATCATTTCATAGGCCTTACTGTCGGGGAGCTCTTCCTAAGCAATAACCTGAATCCTTTCAACTACAGTTTCCAGAAAATACAAAATAGTATCAGTACAAAAAACCCCCAGAGAAACCCAAGGCCTACTTTAGGTAAGGGTTCTAGAAGGTTCCATGGGCCACAGACAGGCTAAAGCAGATGACCAATTCCTAGATTTTTATACAGTGTTTTTGCGCATTGTGAGTGCACTTACCAAATACTATTTGATCAGTCAATGAATGAGTACATAATTTTATGCCTTCTGGGTGAAATATTTTATAACTTTCATCAGATAGCGTCTCCATGGGTTTAACCCTGAAAAATTTAAGAACCTCGAAAGATTCAACACTACCTAAAAGTGATGGTCCAAATAAGCACGGTGTCTCTTTTATCTAAAGAATGTGCCAGAGCAGGGATTCTTCAGCTGTACTACTCACACGAGTCCCCGGGAATCTTGTCAAAACACAGACTCTGATATAAGAGATCTGGGTAGGGCCTGAGATTCTGCATTTTTAACAAGTTCCCAGCATATCAAGGCTGCTGGTTCCAGGGGCTACACTCTGAAAGTTCATGAAGCCCACATTTAAGTGATGTCCTTTCAAAGCAAAGGCCCCGAGGTGCATCCCCTTACCTTCTTCGACTATTGACAGCAATGCAAACGGCAAGAATCAAAGCCAAGGCCAGGAGGGAGGCCAAGATGATGAGCCATTCTGGTGAGAGTGAACCAAAAGACACCCGTGAGCTTGGGAAACACACTTTGTAAAAACAAAAATGCACTTTATAAATTGACCTGGTCCAAACAAGAACTATACTCAGCATCATGGGTAAGTCCAGCCAAATGGCCCTGCCAACTGGCCAATAATACCAGAACAATTCTGCTATAGGCGTCTGCCCAACAGGCCTCTTATTTTAAACTCTTATCACCAGTCAGAATTTTCAAGTTCCTCCAGGAGAAGCATGTCTCCAAAAAAGCATAGAATGACCTGTAGAAACTTGTAAATGCCTTTGGCGCAGTATTATTAAGGAGACTAAAGGAAATTTATGTTTCCCTTGAAAGGAACATTCCTCTCCTATATAAGAGCATCCACCTTATGTTTTATTAAGAAACACAAATGGGGGCCATGCATTAGTGGGTGGGAAAAGGACACCCCTGTGGAGGGCTGCACTTCTGCACATTCAACCGGGTCCCGGGCGGGGGGGTCATTTGGCAAAACTTATCCTTCAAGGGGCGCCTGGGTGGCTCAGTCGTTAAGCGTCTGCCTTCAGCTCAGGTCATGATCCCAGGGTCCTGGGATCGAGCCCCGCATCGGGCTCCCTGCTCCGCGGGAAGCCTGCTTCTCCCTCTCCCACTCCCCCTGCTTGTGTTCCCTCTCTCGCTGTGTCTCTCTCTGTCAAATAAATAAAATCTTAAAAAAACAAAAACAAAAAAACAAAAAAACCAGTTTAAAAAAAAAAAACTTATCATTCAAAATGTGCATGCTTTTGATTCAGCTTTTGATTCCCCCTTCTGAGAATTTACAGGACCTCAGAATTCATTTTGAAGATGTTCATTGCTGTGCTATTTATAATAGTAAAAGTTGGAAACAACCTAATATAAGAGTAAGGGATCAGTTACATAAATTAGGGCATACCCACTGTATTCTGCATGGTGAAAACAGGAGAAGAATATTTACTGACATTGGAAAGCTGTGGGCAACCAGTTGAGAGTGATGGTGGTTAACTAAACAGCATGCATGCTGCAATTACATTTTTGTATATAAATTACATTTTAAAATGATGGGAAAGACATCTATGAAAATGGTAACCATGCCATTTCCAGATGGTGGGGTAGCTAATAAATGATTCACATTTTTGTCCTTCGGTTTGTATTTTCTCAAATGTCTCCAATTATCATGTATCACTTATGGATAAGATGTTATATACAGGTTTTACAATCAAGCTTTAATAGGATAAAAATATGATTTGCCAACTTGAATCCATTCTCTTGCCATGTGGGTTGTATATCTGTGCAATGAGCTAGAGCTCAAGAACCAAGAAGGATAGGAAGTCATCGATTGGCCATTCCCCCTTGGGAGTCTTGGATTTCCTCCCACTTCCTGCTCAGGACCGCCTCTGCCTGGCCTCCACCTAGTTAGGTGAGTGTGGGGAGGGAGGTGGAGTCAGGAGGTGGGGAGGCCAACAGGTGGTCCCATTTCTGTTCTTTTCTCTGGTCTCTCCTGTTCACTCTCACTAGAGCTGGGAAGAATGTTGCGTATTGCATCTCTGCGCCGCCCCCTTCCCTGGCAGCCCACTCCCTCTCTCCACTTGCTCCTAACCCAGCTGTGCTCAGGCAAGCTGAGGCAAGGGGGCGAGGTGCACCCTACATTCTTCCCTTTTCCCGAGGGAGGCTCAGCTCCAAGGCCTCTGAAGAGGGGAAAGTTAAAAAGAGAATTTACAACCCTGGGAAAACCCTTTCTTCTTTGTAATCTCCCCCCTTGAAATGCTCCATTTTGAGCCCAAGTCAAATAAAGAATTTGCCTCACGTGCCTTAAATCTTGATGCTCAGGAGAGCCAGGTGTCCCAGCCCTCCTACCACACGATGTGACTCATTCGGACACTTTTCTTCTGTCTGGATCAGGAAAGACTGTCCCTTGAGAAACAGTTGTTTGGGGACCAGAAGAATGTTTTTACTCCCCCCGCAAAGGCCCTTATATCTCCTCACTGTCTGCAATGTGAGAAGAAACTTACGTGCCCCAACCCCGACAGAAAGGAGAAACTGGGCCGGGATAGGAAGGACGTGGGTATGGGACAGAGTCCCCTGGGTGATGGATCACTCATCTGGGAAGGACGCTTTAGAACCTAACATGCCAATTCTTGGGGACAGGCCAGGGATAGACCTTCAATTTATGGGACCCCCCAAAAAAAGTTCCATTCTTTCCTACCAAGCGCTCTCATTCACCCTTTAGCTTGCAAAGAATGTGCTTTTTTAGTATCCTTTTTTTTTTTTTTGGCTGCACAGCTTGAAACTTACCTGGAATTTGAGGTTTCCGCACAGGACCCGAGGTCGTGTTTGCCCTACCTTCTTGACTCCCACTTGAGTGGCCTAAGGGAAAAAAACAATATCTCTCAACCAAAGTTTGGAATGCCTAACGACCAGTTCCTTACAGAGCAGCATGCAGGGCCAACCTCACTATGCTCTGCATCACTGAGAAGCTATTTATAGATTCAAGCCACAGACGTTTATAAAGTGTTACACGAAAGATATCTCCGCAGAAAAGTTGGTTTGATTAAGGCCAACATCTGGAAATGTCATTGTTCATCAAGAACATGAGAATTCTCACCAGCGGTACTGTGCAGTGTTTAAGACCTTGGGCTCCAGAGCCAGGCAGCACCCCCCCTCCGCCTCTTGCTAGTGACGTCTGCTGAGTCAAGCTACCCTCTCCAGGTCTCAGTTTTCTCATTCAGAAAATGGGGATAAGAATAAAAACCACTTCACCATAATTTTACAGAAGTTTAAAGAAGTGCATAAGAATGGGAATTGCGTGTAGTTGCTCTGTACCATTTCTGATTTAAGACCTTGCTACTCAAAGTGTGGTCCCTGGATCAGCAGCATCAGCATCACGGGGGAGCCTGCTAGGAATACAGAATCTCAGGCCTCACCCCAAACCTACTGAGTCAGAATCTTCATTTTAACAAGATCCCTAGAGGATTCAAATGCTCTGGAAAGTCCAAAGCAAATCTAACAATCGCATCCAGTGTCTTCACAGACACAAAAATAAACATTAAAAAATAAGGGTTTAGGGGGCAATGGTCCTTTCTGTCCAGGGAAAATCACCCTATTGGAGTCCCTGCTAATATGTTATTGAAACATGCCTTGTTTTCAGAAGAATGAATATCTTCTACCACTACAAAACAAAATAAGGAAACAAGCAAAGCATCTCAAACTGGAAGGAGATGTAGCAAGACTAAGAATCCACAAATCTGATCGTTTGAACACTACGTCAAAAACTAATGATGTACTATATGTTGGCTAACTGAACATAATAAAATAAAAAAGAACCCATAACTCCGCATGGGAGACTCATCAAAATGAGGGAGGCATCGTGTTTTAAAAGAAACTTCTAAGACATCTCGAGAAGAGACTCACCTAAGTTAAAGCTTCATCTTTTGCTTGTGTTTTTTATGCTTCCTCCTCCGTTTCAAAACAAAATTTGAAAATATCCCACAAAAATGAACTTGTTCCTTCCTACCCATGGGGAACCCACTGCAAAATTCTGAAGTCTACCAAGGGAAGAAAAAGCAAATCAGGGCAGTCTGTCTGGCTAAGCAATGGATGAAGATGGCCAGGGTTGAATTAAAGGAAGATGTCAGCGGAGAGTCAAACTTTAGACAGTGGACAGTGCAATTTTGATGATGATGGCTGTTTTGGATAGGCTGACTCCTGTTTACGCAATCTGATGTTTTCGTTAAACTTGAAATGGAACAAAACAAATTCTTACCAGACCTCGGGCCATTCAACACATCTTATGCCACTTTGACAGTGGCCTTGTACTTTGTAAATCTTGGGAGTCCAAGGTGCTTTTCCTAGCTGCCCCCCGGGGTCCTTGGTCATTGGCACGTCTTCACCTGCATGGGTCATGGGATGCTGGCCATCTACACTGGAGATCTTTGGGCTTGAAAGCCATCTAAGCAGTAGAGGCACTCTCCCTGGTCTTTCTCTGACTCATAGCAGCCTTTGATATTTGAAAAGGAGGCCACTAATGGATCATAATCTCTTTATTTTGGTTTTCAAAAAAAGCGCTCCCAGCAAGGAAAGATCTGGGTGTGTGTACAAGATGAAACCTCCCACTTGAACAATACACACCTGCACAGGAGTCAAACAAAAGAGACTGCTCCCGCCCACCTGATTCTCACTTCAAGCAAAAGCCAGAGAAGATGGACGAGATACAGCAGGCCTCACCTTGCACTCCAGAGGTCTGCAAATCCAGCCGGGTAGGGCTGGCTGGGAAAGCAAGCTTTGCAAAGACGGACACTTGACACTGTAATTTGGAGATGAGATCCAACCTGAGACGTGTGCACAGAGATAATTCAACTGGCCTTGACTGTGAGAAAAACAGTCTAGGACAGAGCTTCTCAAACTTCAGTGCACATACAAAACACCCAGTGTGGGGGGAAGTCTAGTTAAAATGCAGAACTTGATTCAGTAGGTCTGGGATGGCTGGGGATTCTGCATTTCCAGCCAGCTCCTAGGAGATGTCCCAGTGGCTGGTCCAAGGACCACACTTGGAGTAGCTAGGGTCTTTTAATTTTAGAGAACATGGTTGAAATAATAACTCCCTATCATTTCCCCAAATTTTTCATTTTCCTGAGAGCTCCCGTTCTTCACAAAACTCTGGGAGGTAACAGAGGCAGGTGTCCTGACCCCCTTTTTTACTAAAAAGGAAACTGAGTGTGGGAAAGGCTAAATGCCCCATCCAAGGAATCTAAAGAGCTTGGGACTTCTGTCTTCACTTTAGAAGCATTTCTAACGAACCCCTCTATCCTGTGCTCTTGCATGAAAGCTTATTACTGAGCCACCATGTAAATATCCGTCTTCATATTTGCTTTAAGTGTGTGAATCTTTAGGCTTGGAGGCAACTGCAGCACTGACTTGGGCATGGGGGGGAAGACCATGGTCCAGATGGATTCCCTGGTTTTCATGGGGTCACCTGGACTGAGGATATCAGGGCCACTGGTATTGGCAGGACCTTTCAGTGGTTCCAGCGTTACTGGTCACAAGTAAACCTGCCTCATGTCAGACTTTGGTGCCTGCAGTAATGTTTCCAGGGGTGTGATCTGAGTCCCAGCAAACATGTATCCATTTAATAATACATGCCTGGCAGTAATTATGGTCATTACAGAGTGTTTTCTTCAGAACATACTTATAGAGGCAATATGAGACCTCGGGGCTTGAAACCTGGCTCCACCATTCAACTTACCAGTCATGTCAACCCAGCCAAGGTACTTGCCCTTTCAGAGTCTTAGTGTCCTTGTCTGGAATACAGGGATGCTAACCATACTTTCATAGGTCACAGGGTTTGTAGGATGATTACATAAAGTAATATTAGATGAACCATATGGAATTGTGGATATTCGACTGTTGACCTACAAAAATAGCAGCTTCATCTGGTCTACCCTACTACATGGAAAGTGTTTAATACAACACCACCAGCACACAGTGAATTCTCAGTAAATGCTAGCTACAGTGCCATGTGCTTTACACCTTTACACCTGTTGGATCATTTAGTCTTTAAAACAATGCCCTGCAACAATTATTATTATCCCAATTTTAATCGTCAAGAAACTGAGTCTCAAATCCCTTAAGCAACATCCTCAGTTAGTATATGGAGGAGCTGGGATCAAGCCCAGGCCATTCTTACTCCAAGACCCATGTTCTTAATCAGGCTGGTGTAGTACAATGCTAACTTGAGATCCTGCCTGAATTCTTCCTGATCCTTCCACATGGAAGACTCCTCTCTCCAACACGGTAGTTCTCAAAGTGCGGTCCCCGTCCCTGCAGCATCAGCATCACCAGGGACCTTACTAGAAATAAATATGCTCAAGCTCCACCTCAGACCTACCGCATCAGAAACCTTAAGAATGGGGCCCACCAGTGTGATTTAATAAGCACTCTCCAAGATTGTGACACACGCTAAGAAAGTCTGAGAACCACTCTTCTTGAGACACTGACTCATGCTTTATTAATCATCAGCAGGCTCAATGATGATAACAGTAAATGACTACAGTAGCTCAAACTCACCAGCTGATTCTGATCCATGAGTGGTATGGGACGTTCCACTGGGGTGAACTGATGAGTCTTGGTCTTCTGTAAGGAGTAATCAGAAAGCTTCATTACTGGGTGTTCCACTGCAATCTGTATTTCCTCACTTTTGCAATTTCAGACATCCTATCACCAAGTTTAATGTGTTAAAGGTCACCGAAAAATCAATGGCAAGGAACCTTGAATGGCTCCATGGTACTAATTACTGTTCATTGCTGGATCCACTGGTGAGTAGGTTAGGGCTTTAATCACAATAAAGGAAACTGGGACAGCACAGACCATCCAGGATGACCACAGGAAGTGTGGTTTTGGTAGGAATCTAAGAACATAACACTCTCACAAAAATATTATGATGTCTTCGCAGATCTGAGGTTGGAACTTGATACTGCGTCTTTGAAATAAAGACTCTATGTTTTGAATTACACAAATGGGATCGCTGGGAGTGTGTGTACTCTCTGATTCAGAGCATGAGCCACTTAAAGAGATTTCTCTGAGGCAGGAAATAGAAAATTGTTTTGGTGTGCAGTAAAGGATCTTGGCGTTGAATTATGTAAAAAATTCAAAAGGAAAGGTCAAATGCTTCTTTAGAGAAAAAGAGCCTAAAGATGAGTGAAAAGGAATAAGAAGATGAGAGTTAACATGTAAAAAATGTGGACCTGGTTATTAGAATATATTTTAAAAAATAACATTTTTCAAAATTCAAATCTGTATTTTCAACACCAAGAGTTAAAATAATCCCATCTTCCCAAATATCGATCACCAAAAGGCTTTAGATTGAGACAAGCTCATGAACTGCTCAAATCTGGGTCCACAGGTCAAATCTCAGATTCAGCCTATGGAAACCCCTGCTCTTCTCCCTCTTCCCCACACACTTTCCAATGTGCTGGAATCTTAAACAAAACAAAACAAAACAAAACAACAAGACAACAACAAGACAAACAACAATAACAACAGAAAGGGATAATGGTTTCATAAAATGGCTACAGTCACCCATTATGAAGACCTGTAAGGAAAATATAGTAATCTGATCATCACCATTTCCTTGATTAGAGAAGGCAGAGGTAGGCGTCCTGTCATCTCTCGTGTAATTGTACAGGGGAGACAGATTGCTTGGCTCCTCAGTTAGAATACTCAAAAACAGCATTTGCTGAAATGCCAACAACGGTACCCCCAATACCACCACCACCATTGTCACCACCACCACAATGGCGAATGTTTTAGTTCTTAACATGAAGCATGAAGACAGAGAAAAATGTATGGGAAGCAATAAGCTTTATCTGAGTGGCTTGGAAGAAAACCTAGGATGGCAGCTGAATCACTTACTAACCATTTAATCCATGAAGAACCACAGAAAATCTGTTTGATCATGGAATTATAGAAGGAATCAGCATCTGTGAGTATCGATTTTGTAGAAAGCATTTTATTTACTAACAAATGGGCTATGTAACCCTTCCACGATACTATTACTTTTAAAATTGCCATTTAAAATTTAAATTCATTTGATTGCACCACAGTCCTTATTCTGCCAAGGGAAAAGAGGCAGTGCTCTAAGATTCATTTCTTTGGGAGAAAATGGACAATGCTACTCAGGATGTTTAATAACTGAGGGCAGAACCATGATGAATAATGAATCAAAGGGTGTGAGGAGCTTTGTCTTGCCAGTATCACCAAAGTTAGTATTTTTAAAAACTGCTTTTCTGGAAGCTCTGGGTGAGCAGCCCAGAGGAAAGAATCCAAGCACTTGGCATTCTGAGTCTTCTGTCCTCATATCAATTAGAGCATCACAGATGTCATCTGTTTTATATACTGGGTTCTCATAAGACTTATTCTTTTTGCAGGGGAGGAGAGGCAGACCTTGCTACAAATCCATATATATTTAAAATCACAAATCTTTAATATAATTCAATGGTTGAGTGGCAAGAAACACTTGAATCACTGGCACGGGGAGGAGAGATTCCAATTCTCATTTCTTATCCAGAGTAGGTATTTCCAGTTCTTTTTTCTTCAATGTAAGTTTCTTAATGCAAATGAAAGAACAAAGAAAGGGAGAAGTAGGGGAGACTGCTTATTTGAGAAAAGAAGTCTCGCTCTCCTTTTAGGTCCGTGTCCAACTTAATTGAATAAGTCATCTTTAGTCATCCCTTTGCCATTGCAACAGGAGAAGTCATGCCTATTCATTATTAGTAGATTAAATCATAAAGTTTGAGATGTGAATCATAAGTAGGTTGAGCCACGAGCCCTTCACCCAAAGTAAAATTAATCAATCCATCACCAGTAAAGAAAATAATTTCAGAACAAAGATATAAGCACATGGAAATGATTCACATGTTGGGTAAAACCTTATGAAGCAGGTAGCATATCTGAGTTGAATCAAATGAAATTGCTAATATTTGACTACTTTGACCTACAAAAGCATTGATGTCATATGGCTCAAATTAATATACCACAAGATTAGGAACAAAGAAAGAAATTCTACCCTAACAACCCTAACAACCACAAAAATAAACGGAGACTAAACTGGCAAATAAAAGCATTATTTATCTAAAATAAATCTAACTTTATTCGCACTAGAATGATGACCTGGGATAAAGGCCATTCCCATATCACAAATCGGTCTAATCACAGCCCACACAGAAAATGTCCCCCTATAGTATGAAATTAGGTGTTGTTTCTCTCTGTAGAGAAATCCAACCGGATAACAAATGGCCAAGTTACCTGAAAAGAAATGAATAACGTTAGAGTTGGAATCTCCAGCAATATTGACTTCAGTAACTCCAGGGGACCCCGTGTTAGCAGAGGTGACAGGGATGAGGGTCCTGTATTCCCCCGTGGCTGGTGAGTGAGAAGTAGAACCTTCCACTGAAGTAGCTGAGTCTTCAGGAAGATGTCCACCTCTTCTTCCACCTCTGCCATCAGTTCTATCTGTGTGGAGGTGGGATCAGTGGTAAGCCCACAGTTGTGAGGCCACCACCCATCGGGTGCTTGTCCTCAGAACGTGCCAGTGCTGCAAAAGCTTTCCACTTGTTATTCATGAGTATGGAGCAAAAGACAGTGCAGTTTGTTCCTACTCTTACTGAACCAAAGTGATATTTTGCAATCGGCACCACCTGGACATGATTCAGTGGAAGAGATTCTGGTGATCCCAATACCCAAGAAAGGGATTTGTCGCAACATCTGCCTGGATTGTTAAAGTTTAGGTTTATGCCACTATGACTGTGACCTTGAAGTCAACTCAGGTACTAGATAATCTTGAGCGCTTACTCAATTGGACCCGCCTTTGATGAAGTGGAGAAAACACATCATTGAACTGAAAAGTAAAATTATGCTGCCTGCAAATGGAACGGTAAATGCCAGGTTTCAAAGCCGTGAGGCTTTCATTACTTTTTCCTTTGCCATAGGGGCTCTGCTTCTTAGTCACCAGCACTATGGATGTATGTCCAGAGGATGAATGGCAAAATAATATGTTGATGAAAGGAAAACAGAGAGTGATAGAATTCAGACCTTTACACCAATTATAAATTATATGTAAGCGATTTTAAAACCATGCCACTAACTTTAGAGTTTAAGAAAGCTGACCTTTAAGATTAAGAAATACAGTTTGCACTTAATGTACAATAGCTTCTAAGAGGCCTACAAAGCAGAAAAATCCGAGAACCATCACCAGCCGCACCTTCTGATCAGAAATAACAGCATAATAGCCGCCAAGTGATGTACCTCCACCAAAGACACGGTACAAACATCCATGATTTATGGATCTTTATCAAGAGCTGAAGCCAGCTGGGCTTTACGGTCCTTACTGCTAGATGTTGGAGTAGAAGTCGTTGGATGGTCTTTATCTTCTTCCAAGCCTCCATGTGATGTAGAGAAGCTCTGAGTATGACTCTGCTCTGTTTCAATGAGGGAGGAATCCAGCGTTAATTTGGAGCCATGAAACAAATCCTCTGTTATCTGCTGACAGGAAGGATCTAGCTATGGAAGTGTCAGACAGGTAGGTGCCTAGGAAGACCGAAGTTTGGGTATACCATTCTCCTCTGATTGATAGAAAGGTACAACAGAATTCTGTTTTGTCCCTAATTGGCTCCTAAGAACCCCTTTTTCAGTACAATCAACAAAGGTAAAGTGCCAAGGTGGAGCCGGAACCAAAACTTTTGTCCACCCTGGATCATCCTGGCCCAATTGTAGCACCGCTTCTCGTCACTTAGGAAAACCAGGGAACAGAGAGACAGGGAAGAAGGAATGGTTGAATTCTGGTGCTCCTATACACGATCAAGAGCACCCAGCTGTGGGTCGAGAAGTGGGACTGTAGGGAAATGAATACCAGGATAGCAGGTAGCACAATTCTCACGACGAAAGAGGAAGAAGATCTAGAATCTAGAACAATCTGCTCAAGTAACTCAGATCAAATTTGCACAAAGAAATCTTAAGTCCCTTCTAAAGAATATTAAATTAAAGTTACCATTTTACTCTATTATTAGGTTTTTGATCTTGTCTGTGAATGAGGATTCTCATCACTGCAGGAAACGCTTGCCTGGGCAAACACAGGGCCCTCACTGACACATACCAATTTGAGGTTGAACCACTGCCCATATCTGAAATCACTTTGACTGTTTTGATTTGATTTCTTTTGTGTTCTTCTAAGAAAGGTACCGACCTCTGAGTTACAGGCGCAAGCATTCCGTAAAGCACATCAGTAAGCCCTGTCCACCACCAGGTAAACATGACAACCAGGAGAAAGACATTCACCAAATCCCAATCCCAGTGTCAGAATAAAAGTCAGCAGGGACATTAAGCGGAAACACAAGACCCTCCCTTGGAGGGGGCCGTCTTAGGCTTCTCTCCATCTCCTTTGATGCGTAACACTGTGCTACATACATTCTTGGTGATCAATACATGCTTGCTGATTTTTCCTCTGCCTAGAACGGTTCACATGAAGGACTCTGCCCAGTATGTGTAGCAAGCAGTGAAATGAAGCCCTCTTAATTCTGGATTTCTTTCATATTCTGTGAAGAAATTGCAGATGACTTCAGTCTGATCTCTAGGATAGC